GAAGTCCCTATTGTTAGGATGCTTAACATGAGAGATATAGGAAAAAGTAATACAGTGAAATGGAAAACATGGATAATGATGGCACATTTAAATACATTTTTCAAACTAATAGACACACACAGGAAATAAGCTCCCTGATTTCTCTGCCTATCAAATTTAGGAAAATTACAGTGTGATGGGACTGCCAGAGAACTACTTGGTCACCAGCAAGTATCAGACTTCGTTCTGTATGTGCATCTCCTTTCTGTAAGCCAGGAAGAAGACAGGAGATATGAAGGCAAGGTGAAACTCTTTCTGTTCTTCATTTTTGTCCAAAATTGCAACGGGAAATTACAAGATCTCTTTTGAGTACTAGCGCTGCAGCAAAAAAGAGAAGGGAACAAAACTGGCTGAAAAAGATCTATGTAAGTGCAGTGTGATCTGTTACATTGCAGTATCTATAGAATTACTAAATTATCACATTTTGAGAGGAGAATTAAGAATCATCTCTGTAGATCTGTGCCATAAAAACTTTCCTGTACAAACTGAAGTAATTTCTTACCTGAAACATAAATTAGCAAAGGATTCCGGCACCTTGAGCTAGTTCTGGTGCAATGAGGAGACAGCACTTATTCACACTATTTTTCTTTATTTCAGTTTTCATTTCCACCTGCAGTTTCTATATACTGATAAGACTATTAAATAGTGTAGAAACAAGATTCCCGGGGAATTTTACTAAACATGCATCCACCTGACGACTATTTGCTATTTAAAATTTACTTTGAGGCCTACCATTTAGGCATTGTATAATCCATGCCATACGTGGCATATTGATACTGTAAGAACTTGTTTTCTTAACTAATTCTTTTACAAACGCTCAAATAAATTATTGACTCATGCACACCAAAAATCTTGTATGTATAATATAATGCTGCTATTAGTCAATAAAATACCAACCTAATTATAACGCTCCTTACTTCAACTCTTTTCAAACAAGAAAACAAGTTTCAACTAACCATTACTGGTCTACAGATGGAAAGTTCTTATTTTTGGCTCAGCCTTTCAGTCAGAAGCTACAATAGTGTTACACAGGACAGGCCAAAGATGACATGAAACAGTTGATTTGAATGACTTCTGATTAGTTTACTGAAAAAGTATAAAGAATGCAGAGTTAGCTAAAAAGTTGCTTATTGTTTTTAAAAATAGAGATGTCTTGGCTTATGCTTCGGTTTTCAATTATAAACATATGCTATCAAATGCTCGAGCTCTACAGAGCAAATCCAGCATAGACAAGCCTGGCTAAATGAATACAATTACATGAAATATATTTTAAAATAAATATTTTGTTACGAATGTTTAGTTAGGAAAACTAAAACAACTATAAATCTTATTTATCTTACTTTTTGCTTAGGCTGTTATTTTTGTTTTAATTGTCTTTGATAATTTAAAATAGCACAGTTAATCCCCTTCATTTGTAATCAGTTTGTAATCAGCTCAATTTTGAGCACAGTTGGTACTACACTATTTATTTAAAAAATGGAAATATTCTTATAGTCTGTAAGCTTTATCTGCAAAATCTGTATTTTATATCTAACTCATCTAACTGATCTAACAGCTTCCCTTTAAGTTTTTTTTATCTTCTCAATTTCTTTTTGTTAGCTGCCCATTAGAAGGAATCTGAATAACACAGAGAAACCATTTGCATATTTCTTGCAAATTAAATTAAATTCTTATTCTGATGAGGCAGAGTGAAAGATTATGTACTTAAATCTCCCTTCCCATTAAGTTTCCATTTAGTTTAGAGAGCTCTTCATTTGCATTTAACTGCCTGGCAAAGATCAACACTGCATTTTCACATACTGACTCTAGAGGATCCTCAGCCTTGAAGCACACCTAGCCCTTTGCTAGCATTCCCATAAGCAAGCAGGCATTGCTGCATGTAAGGAATCCTCGTTTCACTATTCTTTCCTCCAACCATTTCCTCGATGGATGTTTCCTCCCTGGGTCTTTCCTTCAGGCCGTTTCCTGAGGCTGTAGCTGCATCCAGAGAAGCCAGCTGCCTCGCGCGGGGAAGGACGGTTTCTGCCTTAAGGTTGCCTGTGTGCTTGGCTGTCTGTTTTCCCAGACGCCTCTCCTCCAGCCCGCTTCGCGGTCCCTGGGACACATCCAGCCAGCACAAGCAATGCCCCCGGGGTCCCACTCAGCTCTTTTACTAGTTTTTGTGTTAATCAGGTGAGTAGGCACAAACACATCAGATTTTCCTGCAGTTTGCATTCAGATCCCTGTCCTCTCCTCCAAAATCTGAATGCAAACAGCAGTGCAGTAACTTTTAATTGCTTTACAGGTCCTCCCGGGTGAAACACAAAATCTGCGCTCACATACCAAATCACAGTGTCTAATTTCCAGGTCTGTGCCTACTAGAATTTAAATAATTCCAGCAGCCTGCTTCAGAAGACTGTCCCTTCACGTGGTCGGCCAAGTGTCAGAGATGCGGGGGTCCGGTGGCAACGGAAGGGGGACTATCCTCCAGAACACACCACGCCAAAAATAGCAGAAGAAACTTGCCTGTCATCTGTTCTGACTAGGATTCCTTCTCACTCCATCAACTGGGAAGTCGGAATCGCAATCGGAAACGGGTGCTCAGCTATCCATCCTACTTCTCATTCTCCCGAAAGCAGCTTTCGAAGCTGCATCAGCGCGGTATCTCCAAATTCTTTATCCTACGGCCCTGATAACGCTGACATCTTAGCAGACAGATTCAAAAGTTAAAACAGAAAAGGCTGCTTCCCAGGAGGTCAGTAAGACAGCGCTTTTCAGCACCTCTCCTATTCCTACTGCCACCAGATGCTACAGTACTACCAAGACGAGATCTACCAACTCCAGATAGCCTATCTTGATTTATTGCTATACTCATCAGCCGTCAGCTTGGCAGCGCTTCAGTGGGAATCCTGACTATCCCGATTTCCCAGAATCAAGTCTAACCTGCTTTAAATCACGCAACAGCTATCAGTGACTGCTTTTGAAAGAGTGGCCATTTTGTCCTTCTGCATTCATTTACCAATCTTGAAAAAAGAAGCCATGCTCACTTAGCATGGAACTTGTCGGGATTAATCAATGGATACTACGAAAGCACTGGAAATAAGTCTGTTCTTTATACTGCTTTTGCACACCCATTTTTTGCTATGTTAACCTCAAGCCTGTGCTGCAAAAGATCTGTTCTATGTTATCAATACTTTCTACATCAAAAAGTCCTTTGCATTTTAAATACAGACCCCAGGACATTCAGTGGGATGATAACCTATACCCTAAGCTTTTTATCCCAAGAACAGACATACAAAAGAAGTATTTTCTTCAGATCGTACTCTTCCCGTCTTTTCTTTTTACAACCAACTTTCTCAAGAGAAGAGCCATATCGTTGTATGATTGTACCATAACAAGGAGCCTCGATGTCCTGCCACGGTAGCGTTCTTGCAGTCTCACCAGACGGAACAGCAATAAAACCAAAAACATCAGACTTCCCAGCTACTCATCTTTTTACTGATTTCTATGATATGGACATCTGCACCATCCTGATATTACCAGTTCATTTGATACTTCACTGCTTCAGGCCAGCACTGCACATTACTTTAGGTACTCTGTGAACCATTTCCACCTTTTTTTAAAACATTAAGTAGAGTCTTCTAGCAAAGTGGAAATATAGAAATCCTGAAAAATTATAAGTCACCATACACGGAATGAGAATCAAAAATATCCTTCCCTATTCATCACTACATTTTTAATTTTACTCTGTATTTTTGCTTCTGGTATTTTCTGCAACTGCTTTCATTTTATAAAACGTTAAAGAACCATAGAAAACCCCACAAGGTAGCCAACCCAAGCTATCAGTAGTGTTACCGTAAAAGAAAGAAACCAAAAATAATAAATGAAAATTGAAAGGAAATCAACATATTTGCATAAATATTTCAGCTTTTAAAAAAATAAGACTTTTCTCACTAAATGAAATTTTGATATCCAAATGACTAAATGAAATCAGTAATAAAAAGAGAATTTGGAGAAGCTGGGCTAGGATGATCTTGCCATTGAAATTACAGCGATATATTTTAGGTTCAATAGAATATGGCAAAAGAGGAAAATACATTTACGTTCCTATTAAAATCACCTAAAAGATATCCTTCCAACTGTTTTTCACCTATACAGGTAAATTTGTGTAAGAAATACCGAAAGGGTTTATTGCGTATATAAATTCTTATCTCTAAAAATATGCCTGTTGATAGGCTTATTCATTTACACACTATCCATGGAATGCTGCTATTTTTAATTTTTGGATTTTGTTTCCTTTTTTTAAAAAAAAACTTTATTCCAAAAACCCCACAGCCAAGTGACCGATCACCTTACCTTAATATTTTTCAATGCAAAGTCCATTGTTTCTCCAAACAGTTTCTCCAAACTGCACTGACTCTAAACAAATCCACATTTACCTCTTTTTATCTTAAATCATTGCTCAGATGATTTTAATACAGAACCTATCTTGATTCTATTCAGATCAGCCAGTACCTAATAAAAACAACTATTTCAGCAGGGGCTACGGGGATACGAAGTGAAACAGCCCAAGCTCCTTCTATTTCAACCACACACAGCCAAAGCATCTGTTACTTGTTTTACAAGTTGCTAATGACAAAGAACAGTTTTCAGTTCCTACTAAAAGTATATAAAATGCAACTGCACCAGGAAATCCTCTGACAGATACTGGAGCCTTCTCTGGAAATATATGCTGCTGCATTTCCACTGAATATAAAGAAAGGCTTTTATCTTATATGGTCTATGCACTGCTCCTGCTATTACAATATTTATGAGTGCATTGTTATTTTCCTGCAGATTTCTAATATCCCGACATTTTTTGTTTCTCCTTACACTTCATAAAGTTACCTTGAAAGCTAATTCAGGCAAACCAATTTTTGCCCTGTATAAACACAACCACCGCTGTTCCTTATTCTTAAAGAATGATGGCTCTAAGGCACTACCTTTACAATATACAAATTGTTAATCCTCTTCCTGAGAACATTTAAGTTTGCTGCTAGTAGGGAAGATAAATCACAGGCTCACTTCACAGAATCCCAAGCAGACACTAAACCTCGGTTGTGCAGGCTGGAAAAAAAAAAAAACATACAAACTAAAAATCTTTCAGTGCAGGCAACAGTTTCTCCCACATTTGCCCAAGAATATAAAAAGAAGGCAGCCAGCTGCTGCTGCAGAAAGAAAGGCACTAAAACGCTGAAGCTCTGCTATATTTAACTGCATTCTCTGCATTTCCCAAACTTTATTTAGATGGGAAATCTTAAATAAAACTAACTTAAAAGCAATGTTAATATTCTTTTCACGATTAACAGGATTCGGTCATGAAAATTAGCCTGGCCTTGCTGTTCTGGTTCAGCTTGCAGAGAATTTTGGTCAAAATGTGGTCCTGGCTGTATGCTTGTGTGTATTATACTTCTTGACATATGAACGTGTTTTGCTTTTTCGGTTGGCTGTCTTTAAACAGAAAAGGAAACTTTTTCAAAAATTCAAACGTCCTTCTCTGGGAAAGGAAAAGATCACTGGGATTTCTGCAAAAGTCTCCATAATTGTCACAGTTACGTTCTAGTGCTGAAACATAGACTATTTCAAAATCTAGCACTGCTAAAGAAGCTCAGAAGAGAACAGCGCTGAAAGCAGCCTGACAAGGGTTGTTGGACATGAAAATGACCACTGAGGCAATGCACTGTGCCGCAGTTCTGTTCATTGAACCCTCAGATTTGCCAGTAGTTAACTAAAATTACCAATTTCACCCTTTAAAAAGAAAAACTGAATATATTTGATAAGAGAAAATGTGTTCATTATGTTTCCTCCTTGTCTTGACTTGGCTGGATTTATTCAAAGAAAACCAATTTTGAAGGCAAGAGTGGTAATTAATTAACTCATTGTTTCCTCTACTCCTGTCGTTCTGTGACTCTCTTCATAAAGTTTATATTTGGTTTTGGTAAATAAAAATGCAACTGAATGATTAAATTAGTCCGTAAAATTGGATCCGAGCAGAATTCACCAGAACCTGTATCCTTTATTTAAAGCTGATTCTTTAGAGATACGGAAATCCAGCGAATATATCTTCATTAAATGAGGCCAGGAACAGATTTCTCAGAAAATTAATTACTTCACAGCTAGCACTTGGCAGCTGAGGAACTGTGAACAATTCAGGATCCTGACAGAAGGCCAATGGCTGCTGTAGGCAGAAAAGTCATTCCCAGTGTTTACTAGAAGTCTCAAGGTATGCCATTTTATGCAGCACTAAACCATTCATAATAATAGCTAATATTCCTACCACAAAACAAGGAGAAGACATTGGCAGTGATAACGAATATGCAGACTAAAAATTCTGAAAACATTACCAGAATTGTAACATCATTTGTAGTAAGAGAGCCACTGCTGTGGAATATTTCACTGAGAACATGCAAGAAGAACTGAAATTTCATCTTAGAGCTTTATAAACGATACAGAAAAAAAGCACCAAACCGCTGAATATCACAGATGGTAGTAAACAGAAAATATTTTAAAGGCCACAGGATAAAGGAGAAGAATGAAAGCAGAGATAGTAACAGAAAAACAGTCAACTGAAATATTATGAGGCACAAAAGACAGTAAAAGACATATTCACAGCTCTGAGCAGGGAGATGATCGCTCATGACATATTTACTGGGGGGAGTCAAAGGACCGAAGTTACCCTTTTTCCCCTTCTCCTACAAGCATGTCTCATGCGGAGTTTGTGCCCCTCCCTACGCGAGGCAGCTCGGTCAGATGGTCCTGGAGAGCCACATCCGCAACTGGGGCCGGCCGAGGCGGGGTGGTTGCGGTCGGGCTTTAAACAGGTTATTACATTTGGCTAGCAACGACATTTCACCCCACTCACTCTGGCCTAGCGAAAGCAGATCCATCCAGCGCTTTCTCCAATTGCACGCGCAGTGTCTGTTCTTTAGGAACCACGAGAAAAAAAACCCTATTTCTAAAGAAGTTCCACACACCTCACACTAAGACATCAGACAACCTACATGAATGCATACCATAAAAAGAGAAGCAAGTTAAGAGAGTATACAGGAGTTTTTCGAATAAGTCATTTGCATTGAATTTTTAAGTTGGCATTTTTTGGAGCTAGAAAGGAACAACCATTCCAATAACTTTGAATTCCCTTCTCTTTCTATTTCTTCCTCTCATGCCTCTTCGTGAATAATGAAGAGCAAACACACAGCTGGTTACACATGCATCCATCTCACTTCCTCCTGAGACTGGAACACGCTACATTCGGTGCAAGAAAAAAGTGCAACAGAAGGGAGGAGGAAGAAGAAACCCCAACACACGAAGAATGATTTTCTTTCACTCAGCCTATGACACTTTTAGAATTTTTCCATTATGCAATAACAAACGGGTTCAGCTTCAATTGAAAATGTACACAATAGATCTTCTTGCATTTCAAGTATTCCTTATCCAATTCCAAGAAAATATAAGTATATGATATTATCAACTAGTAACAAATGTTCAGTCAGTCAAGCTCTATTTACAATAACATTACCTCTAGCAGCCAATACTACTGAGCAAACAAACAATAAACTGTCATGCCAGATTCTGACGGAAATAAATATATGAAATGGAGTTCTACAGTGTAATCCATTTAACCAATGTAGAATATAACGATTTGCTGTAAAGCTTCAGATAGACCTCAAATAAACATTTACTGCCTATGCTAAGGGATGGAGTGGCATTCTCAGGCTTTTCCTGGCGTATGTGCTATTTCTCCCAGCCATCCAAATCTCATTAACCGTCACAGCAGAGGCAAACAGCAACTGTGACATGAGCCACTAAAAATACCTCTTATTGGCATCTGTTCTGTGGTATTTTGTATTCGTTGGAACCTTCAGTGGGTGCGCGAAATTTTCCAGCTGCTTATAATATATAGGGCTGAGCCTTAAAAGACTCTGTTACAGATTTGGTCATGGAGTACAGAGCAGTGGCGGTTCAGAAGAGGTACAAATAAAAAAGGTATCATTAGATGCTGGAACGCTGCGTGCTCCTTTACACCACGCAGAAGTTTGTCTGCAAATAACCGCACTTTTGCAAGTTACAGTGAAAATCCATCCAAAAGCTGACTGGTTCCATTATTTCCCAAAGTTTACCTGAGGTATGTTTTCATCTGCGAGTGCCTGCTTGATTTCTTCCCAACATATGGCAGATCAGAAGTGACCTCTTATTTTTGCTTAGAAGTGAACTTGTTTTTTCTCAAATAGCTTTACCTACAATTGGGACTCCCAATGCAGCAAAATAAAAGACTGGGAAGGGAAAAAAACTCTTTTAGGTTTATTTTAAGTTTAGTCAGCAGTCTGGACAAATCAAAATAGGTAAGGTAAGGAGAGGGCAGCCCCTGAGCGGGGACACAGGTCCAGACCATCAGCTATACTGGAGCCTGGCATGAAACGCGGGGAGAAAGGCTGCCCCATGCAGCTGCTCACCCTTGCCGCGGACTGTCCTTCTCCAGCAGAAAAACTCTTTCAATAGGAGGGCAACACAAACTGCAATGGTCGCACCGTGGCATAATGTTTATACTGCATCCCACAGCTAATTTCCAAATATGAACAAGTCTTCTCCCCTACTCCTTTCCCTTATGGTACGTATTCAAAAAACACAGAGATATTTGAAAGTGAATGAAATGTTCAATGTTCAATTCAATGTCTCCTTATGATTTCCTGTAGAAAAAAGCCAATGAAAAGCATCAAGAAGCTAACTTACAATAACAATTTAATGAAATGCTGTAGGTCTTGTCAGTTATCTGAGCTGATGTTTGCAGTAGATACAACTGTCTGCGGTAGGTGGTTGGCCAAAAACAATAAAAGCATGAAGAACACAGAACTACTTGCACTCAATTAAGGAAGTGTCATATTATCTGGCATTAGTTACACTAAACAATAATATAGTTGAAGAAGTCTAAATAATCTCAGATGGTGGAAAAGGAAAGAGCTCCACCACAACCTGTATGCAGTGAAAGAAGACTTAGGCAAAATCCACCCCCATTAAAATTGTTTCCAGCTACTGAAAGGGCATTCTGAAATGACCGCACAATACAGCTGAGATAAGCAGAAAGCTTCCTGCTTAATAATTATTGCAGAATATATTGGTTCACTGTGTCTCCACTGGCAAATTGACATGTTACTGGCATGTTGACATGTAAACGCGTTACTTCCATCAGCAGATCTAGCGAGAAGCGCATTCATCGTATCGTTTTATAGGACACTTTGGTGTCAGTAAGCCATCGTTTCTTTCTAAGTTGTAAGACAAGACACCATTTTTTGTCAGATGAGTAATGAGAAATTACCACTTAGACAACTGAATAGGGCAAGTGCATTCACTGTGATGTTGATCCTAGCTTTGTGGCACTCAATATACTTTCATGATTAATTTGCAGCTACAGTGGTTAGTTAAATTCACATCATCGGAGATTTGAGTTTATAAAAAAGCAAGGAACTCAGCTACTTATACAAGTATCAGATGTCTCTTTGAGCTTTTTGTATTGCTCATCTTTTCTGTTTGAAGGAGATAATGAGTAACCATCTAATAAACTGTAATTTGCTAAAAATGATGATGATGAACACATTTCATCATCAGGGTGGGTATCTCATAGACCCACCCTGACAATTCCAGTGTGTGGCTAAGCATACTTAAGCCAATTCCTCCCGAGAAAAACTTGCTTATTGCAATGCAATAGTGTATCTGTAAGCCTTATAGGGTAACGGAGACAAAACTTATTGTGAAAGTGAAAGGATGCACTGAATCAAAAAAATCACCTGTGTTTGTGAACTGAAAAAGTATGCCAGTGACTTTTATGAATTTGGATGGTGTAAAATTTATTAAGAGCTAATAGCTTAGGGAACTACAGGAACCTTTAATGGTAATCATGCAATGTGCAGAACTCAGCCTTTCCAGACCCTATCATGGATGTCTCTGCAGAGGTATTTATATCAGAAAAGAGTAGTAGCTTTTTTTCCCCATTTTG